TGGTTCATATATTTAACTGTTATTTCACAACTTTACCCTGTTTTATTGAATCACAGTTAATAACTAGTAAAAAGTATAAATGTACACGTTGAAATCAGGCAAAAAAAAAAGTAAATATTATTCACTTTAAAATAAAATCAGTGTTTTTGCTGCTACTACTTTGTTCTTTTACAGTGTGACACAGTTTTACTGGAACATTTTACAGACTTTTGCCCTTAATTTTACAATTGTATATATTTTTAAATGCTATAGTAAATAATAAAAAGTTCTCTCTTTTAGATGTATTTGTTTATCTATTGCAGAGCAGCTCACCTTCACAGGACTGAAGGGTTTTAATGTTGTTTATATTCATTATAATTCAGGTTAATTAGTGTTAATGACTCAGATTTAAGCTCCTCGAAGCAGCTTCAACTCCTCGTGTTGTTTCCTGAAACCATGACAACAGCTGTGGTCCTGTTTGATGGAACTGGGCCCCAGTGAGGGCTTACTGGCCACCAGTAAGAGCGACGTACTTCCTGATGGGCCAGACACACAGGCCACAGCACTGGGCCATGTCTGTCAGGTTCTTCTCGGCCTCCCTCATGTCCCTGTTGATGGAGTCCATCCCCTCCTCAATGCGCTCCAGCTGCTCTGTGAGGAACAGGGCACGGCGGTAACTCACACTGGTCTGACTGGTCTGACTGGTCTGACTGGTGCAGGGCAGCGTGATAATGAGCTGCACCACTAATCCCCATACACAGAGCAGAGCTTAAACTGGACCGGGCTAGCAGCGGTTCTGACTGATGCTGAGAGGATGTAGATTCACCTCCAGACTGGAGATGATCCACATGACACATCCTCCCTGTTTGGTTAAACTACAGACGATAAGGAGTGAAGATAACGGAGACGTGTTACCTCCTTGTTCGTCCAACATCACGACGGTTCTGATCCCCACGTCTTTACTCTGGAAACACAAAAACACATTTAGAACCACAAGATGAAAAAACAGCTGGCTGCAGAGGAGGAACATGTGAAGAGCTGCTGTGAACAACACAGATCACGTGTTGAGTCTCCAGTGACGCCTAGAATCTGAA